TTTGCTCTGGCTGGAGCTGCATTTCTGCCTTCGCTCTGGCCTGGAGCCACCTTTCTGCCTTTGTTCCGGCCCGGAGCCACCTTTCTGCCTTCCCACGCTGCCCAGAGTTCCAGAGCGGCTGGGGCACTCAGTGCCTGCATATGCAAATTAATCTGCCTTCTTTGTTGGGTTAATTTGCATACTCACTCCTGATTGGCTGGTGAGCGTCATTAAGGCATGGTCAATTTCCATTTTTCTCTTTTATTAGTGTAGATGGGGAAATAGAGGCACCGATCAGGTAGGCGACCTGCTGCAGCCTGGGAAGAACTAGGAGTGGGCGTGATTCCGCATCTGCGCCTCCATGGGTTTCCGCATCTGCGGGGCCCGTCCTCCTCCTGACCAGGTGGTGGGAAGGTGGGGAGCTAGAGCCTTGCTGCCTCGTCATGACTGGGTTGCCTGTTTGAAGTTGGAGGTGACTTCCAGCCACTGGGGTTGGAGGCCTTTGTTTCATCCCCTCCCTGCCCACCCCCCCCTGCTAGCTCGCTCGCTGCCTCGCCGCCTGCCCACCAAGGGAACAGTGGGCCCTTGTTTCCTGGGTTTGAGTGCAGCACAGGCAGCATCCAGCATTGGCCTCCCAGGGTGGCGTGATTTGGAAGCGCGGTGCCCGCAGACCTCCTCCGGCCCCGGTGGCGGCCCTTTCACTGAGAAGCCTTGTTACTCACAGAGGGAGACCGATCGAACCCCTTCTGTGGAAAAGAACAACAAGTCCCCTGGAAAGTTTTCTCTGGGGACAGAGCGAGGTCAGAAAGACAAAATGACACAATGGAAATGAGTTCGCTTCTGCCTGAGCCCCGACGCCCACCCCGTCTGGAAACAGAAGTGCGTCCCCTTCTGAGGGTCCTCTCCTCTGTGGCACCCCCCTTCCTCTGAGGGTCCCCTCGTCTGCACATCCTGTCCTCTGAGGGCCCCTCCTGAGGGAGCAGCCTGTCTCCTCCTCCCCAGCCAGTGCCTCTCTGGCCACCTGAGTAAAGCCGTGCTGGACAGCCTGTTACAGCAAAGACACTGCAGAGAGGGATGGCCTGATGTGTGTCCCAGGTCGCTGTATCGTGAAAGGGTTATACTGGCACAAGAACGCTCGGAAAATACACAAAGGAAGGTGGCTGGTGTCCAGAACTCGACTGTTTACCTTCAGTGGAGCAGCCGGGAACGCGGAGAGCTTATTTTCCAAACAGCCCGTGGTTGTCAGGTCTACAGCCCTGGCTGATGCCCGCAAGGATGAGACAGGGCATCTCCTCTGCTACCTGGGACCCCGGCTCCTCGGGCTGATTTCCGTCCCTTGTGCTGCACAGGAGACCCGGGAGGTTCTCAAGGGGATGGAGTTTCTGTGGCCCCGGGGCGCACGGCCCAGCGTCCCTCCTGGGACCTGGTTCTCTTCCGGGTGTAGCTGCCTTGGTTGAAAATACTGGCCTCTTATTTGTGGTGCCGGTCTCGGCAGAGCCACGGGCACAGCAAAAGTGTGTCTCTGGCCGTGGCACCTTCTGAGAATTGGCTGTTCTTTTCCCACTTTGCCCTCCCACTGACTTCTCTGTCTCCTTTCACTTTCTGCTTTCTTTCTGGGAAAGACTGTCATACAGACGCTGTGGACAGAACCAGCAAGGCCCTAGCCGTTTCCTGTTTGGGTTGAAGGAGAAACTGAGGCCCAGGGGATGCTGAGCTGGGCGTTTGCACAGGCCCAGGATGCCTGGCAGCTCGGCTGGGGCCTGAGCCCAGGGGTGTTGCTGTTTGGCTTTTGTCCAGGCCTCAGCTGGGCCACTTCCCAACTGTGTGGCCTTCGCCGTCATTTTCCCTCCTGAGCTCTGGTGTCCTGGTGTGTGCAGGCGGAAACGTCATCACCAGCCTTGGGCTTGCTGTGAGGGCCAGCACCTCTTTCCCGCCCGGGAGCCCAGAAGAGGGGGTCGCCTCTCCTCTGGTCTGCTTTCTGTTTTGTACACAGGCTAGTCGCCATGGGAAGGGGAATCTTCATTATTTTCTTTTTTTAATAGGGGAAATCCCTTAACATCTTTCCTGGCAGACAGTAAAAAAAGAGGAGTTAAGGATATGAGCTGGCACAGTGTGAAGGTTTAACTGAAACAGTTTAAATCTGGGCAGGGTCACAGGAGGCACCTGGGAGGGGGAGCTGTCACCACCCCAGGCCTGAGGGACAAAGGGAGGGAGGGTGGCACGGGAGCCCTAGAAATAGCAGTGGTCTTTGGGAGGGGCTCCCCTGCCCACTGGGACTGTGGCTGCTGCCAGAAATATGGTGGGGGCGTGAGGACAGTTAACAAACAGCCCGACATCTCTCTCTCTCTCTCTCTCTCTCTCTCTCTCTCTCTCCCCCATCAGTACTTCCAATTGCTCGGACTTGGTAGACAAGGCAGCCAGATGGTTGTGGCTCCAGAGGACAGCTTCCCAGGGCATAGGGGCTGGGGTGGGGGCACTGAATGACAAGCAAAGGCTCAGATCTGTTTTCGTCCCAGCTTCCCGCTTTCTCACTGAGATCCCAGGCAGGTTTCAGAAGTCCGTGTTCTCCACCCGTCTGTGAAATCGCTTCTCATCATGTGGTTGGAAAATGAAATGATTGCACGCCGAGTTTGTAACACGGTGCCTCCTAGAGCCATCATTGGTAGCTGTCCTTGTGATTTCTTTACTAACGACTTTGAGACAGCCAGCCTTGAATCCTGGAGGGAGTCCCACTTGGGGGAGTGGGGTTGAGGGCAGGGGTGGAGTTGGTGCCTCATCTGGCTTCTACCGAGGCCATCCAATCGGGAGGTCAGCCAGGTACCGTGCTGGCGCCTGCTGCCTCCAAAGGCCTGGCCTTGCAGGTGGTGGTGTCCGCGTGCAGGGCGGCAGACATCTGGCGGGGCAGGCTGCCCTGGCTGTTGGCAGGTGCTCCTGCCTTGGGGTCAGGTGGTGCCGACTGTCTGTCAGCCAGCAGCTCTGGCTCCCTGGGGGCCCTTGTGCTCTTGAAACAGTAAACACGTGCCAGGGGAGCAGGGCGTTGCCAGGGGAGCAGGGCGGGCAGTACCCTTGGATCACAGGCAGCCCTGCGCTCCTTCACTCGGTCATGATCAGCCCGACTCCAGTGTGACGTGTGAGCAGCTGGTCTCGGCAGCAGCTCTCAGATTTATGGAGATGACGGCTTTGCTAAGAGTTTGTGTTGTTTTGTGGAGTGTTCTCTTGGTTCTCAGTACACGTCTGGCTGTGTGACTTCACCTCGCTGAGGTCTTCCTGAAAAAATCCAGGCTGTCGGGCAGAGGGGGCGTGTGCAATAAATTCTCTCTCTATAAAGCGATTGCACAGTGATGGTTCGCTCGACCTTTAGGTTCTTGGTCACCTTGATTCCCTGTGTGTCTTCTGCACCCTGGGTAGCGTGGGGCTCGGCGACAGAAGTGCAAACACGGGGCCTGCCCCGGTGTGCCGGAAGCCGGTCCGTCCTTGCTGCTTGACACAGTCGCTGCAGGAAAGGAACATCTGCACAGCATATGTTTCAAGGGACCTGGCGTATATAGAATACTGTTCTTAATATGTTTGCTCCCCTTAGCGCTGTGTGTTTTAACCAAGGTCACCTCTCCGAGAAAGG